GGGTAGAATAATGGAGGTTATGTGTTTTTTTACACATTTGAAATCATCAATCAATCATTGTTAGACCACCTTTAGAAACCTGGAAGCACTGGACGGCCGTTTCGTTAGGCTTTCTTGCACAATACCGAAGGGCCCGGGTTCGAATCCTGCGAGGAGCAATAGTCGTGGATGCGCACTGCTGATGAGTCCCATACCAGGACGAAAAGGCCGTCTTTCAGTGCTTCCAGGTTTCCAATAGTAGTCTAACAATGATTGATTGATTATTTCAAATATTCATTATTAAAATCATGAATCAACCAGTGTTAGACTACCATTAGAAACAGCTGTCTAGTGTTTCCAGGTATCTGAAGGTGGTCTAAAGATGAGTGACTTTTGATTTCAATAATAATAATAATAAACAACTTTACAATAAACAATCATAATCGTTGTTTTAATAGAATAATAAGAAGACAGAGTTGATCTGACCATTGGATATTGAATATTTGAAAAAATAATAGAAAAGGACACAATCATTCAACGCAGCTAATTCCTGTAATCTTTATTTACACTAACATATCATTCATGTATTCTAATTCATCATTAACAACTAATTCCTTTTATAGATGAAAATTTTCAAGATTGAAATTTGAACAATTCTGATATTCAGCGCGAAAAAATTTACTTTAGTATATTCCATTGATTTTTTTTTTGAATAATTCAAATGTAAAATTGTGGTGCGAGCTACTTATAAGTAGTATATGACGTGAGTGTCAACGTAATGTCTGGCAGCAGGAGATGGGGGAAGATCAAGAAAGTAAGAAGAGTTAGAAAACAATGGATTTTGTATGAAACGCATGAATAGTGACAATGGATTGATGTTTTGCAACAGGAACAGTCCAGTTCGATATGATGGACTGATATTTTGCAAATTAACGATTTACGATGTGGTTTTCCTATTTTACTGAGTAACTCTGTAATTTTCGTTAAATACAATTCGGTTGCCCCACCTGTGTTCTCCTTCACTATGAAATTACCGTACAGCATTCATGATACAAATTTTAGTCAATATTTTCTATATAAACAGATTTATTTTTCTTAAGAAAAAAATGCAACTTACTTGAAACACAGTTAACAAAGCTTTAACAAATGTATCGAAATTTTGTGTTGGTCTTCCTTCATCGAAATTAAAACTAGAAGAATGGAAGAAATAAATTTTGTTTATAATTAAAGTTTCAAATAGAATAAACTACATTATGTTCAACACATGAATGTGAACACACAATGATAGTTGATTAAAAAGACAATGGACTCAAGGTAAAAAGTAGTGATAACAAATGCTTCGTCACTCACTCATTGATATTAGCTCAAATAATCATAGCAAATATGAAAGTATTCAAAAGTGTTAAGTTCGTCAATTGCGATGCTTGAGTTCACCTTAGCCGGTAACGAGAGTGAGACAATAATCCAGTGACACGATAGGCTACTCTAATCCGATTGTCCCTGGCCCTGCTAACGATATCAAAAAGTCTTGATATGATGTAGAAAGTGTATTCTACAAGCACCCAGAAAATATGAGGTTCACAAGCACACAAATCATAGAAACGCCCTTGAGAGAGCCACAAAAATAGCGTACTAAAATAATACATCAACCAATAACAATCAAGGATTTCCCAGGTGGGAAAGGTAATCACAAGGTCACCTGGTCAGCCAATGCGCTAAAACATAAAATCCAAAATTAGGACCTTTATCAGGTGAGTTCTGGGGATCTAACGTCCCCAACAAAAGAGATATTATTAGTTTTTGAACTGCATAGCTTTGTGCATATAAAAAACTCCCATAATATGGAGTTCAAGATCTTTAGGTTTTGAAACGAGCATCACATTCTATAAATCCAATAATCAACATTTCGAATGTCATTTGTGATATATGTCTCTACTTTAAACATGAATAAATTCTATTCGTTGAAATACGTCACTTCAGATTTTTTGAATTATCGAATAAAAGCAGTTTATAAAAAGGATTAATTTTATTGACCATGAATCCAATTCTACCTTTAATATGAAATACAGTACTTTGAGACGTCACTCAGTCAATCCTTCAAGTATCTATGTGATACCGCCCTCATACCCGTAACAGCACGAGAGACGAAATTGGTCAAAATCAAATCCTTCCTACACCCCCCTAATACCTCTCTTATCTCCACGACTAACTCTTCTCACATTCATTTATCACAGTGCACAGCTAATGCAAACGATGCGAGTTTGCGAAACGTCGTTCCTGGTCTCCTTAAACCCCGTTCTAAAATACATGTTGGAGCATTTAGAGTTAACATTAAGCTCGTCAGATTTTTCAGGGGTTGACCTTCTACCAAGAAAGTCGCTTACTAATCTAAAATATGCCGATGACATAGTTCTATTCGGTGAAGACGCTGACAAAATGTAGAGTCTTCTGACTACCTTAAGCAACAATGCAAGCATGTTCGGGATGAGGTTTTCCCCCTCGAAATGCAAAATATTGCTTCAGGACTGGGTTGCATCGGCATCTGAACGAGTGATAAGGAGTGGAATAGTCGAGCGTATTGATCACTTCGCTTATCTGGGGAGTCTCATCAGCGCTCATGGCCTGGTGACTGACGAAATCTCAGCTCGGATACAGAAGGCTCGGTCGGCTTCTTGAGACAGTCACAGAGGAATCAGTCTAAATAATATAGTTTCTAAAATATTCGTAGGTTACTGGTTTTCGATCATAGGTGTCTTCGAAGCATTGCTCGTGTATCATGGGACGACCGAGTAAGCAATGCTGTCATTATAAAACGGGTGCTAGGTAAGGATGGCAGATCAATAGATGAAGTATTTAAACTTCATCAGTTGAGGTGGTTGGGACATGTGTTACTTATGCGCAACCAACCACCGACTGCCTCGACGAGCTATATTTTGCAGTGTAGGAGTAGATTGGATGAAAGCTAGGGGCGGCCAGACCAAAATATGGCAGAAATCCATGAAGTCACTGACAAGTGGATCGAGTCATGTTGGTAGATGTAGTCTACATGGTTGTGGTCCGCGAGACGATAGTCACCAATGGTTAGAGACCTTGAACAACATGGCTCAG